TTAATATAGCGTATAATGTTTTCTTATTTGGTAATTATTGCTTTGGCAATAGATAACGATGTAGATAATTTTGATTGGAATTTGCTGGGTAAAGATTTTGATGACGATGACGATGAGGAAAATGAAAATAAAGAAAATAAAGCATTTCTTCATAATTTTGAAATCAAAAAGAGCCGAGAACAAAAAGAAGATTTTGAACTCTTTGAAGGGTTTAATGTAAGTTACGTTTAAAATTCTTCAATAATCAAATATTAAATTAATTATTATTTTCAAAAATGAAAGTTACCTCTTCCAACGCCGAATTTACAAAGCTCTTACTCCGCTAAGTGTCTTGATAGACTATCTTTATATCCATTAGTTGTTGAATCTGTATCAAACCAGACATTACTTACTCGAAAAATGAAAGCTGTTACAACAGCTCCTGATAAAAATAGTTTAAAGATTTTTGACTCTTTGACCCGATTTCAAGAATATTTCAAACAAAAGCTTGAAATTCAAAAATTTGCTCTTTCAATTGATCGTAATAATATGACATTTATTGATCGTAATAATATGACATTTCAAGAATTTCGAGTACTTGTTGAAGACGGCATAAATATTCCAAATATTTTTAAACAATATGAAACAGAGTTAAAAGATCTTGAAGATAAAATCAATAACTTTTTCGATAAAGCTTTAGAAAAAAAACGGAATGTTATTAAACAAATTGCATATCAGATTTTGAGGAAAACTTATAAGTATGTACCTATTTAATAATACGTATATAGATTAAAAATAATTATGAGGGTATTTATTATATTTTGATCATTGTAGTGGTTTTGAAAGTTTAATAGGTGATTATGATAAAAATCAAGTAGAAGAAGAAAGTGAGTATTCTAATTATCACATTCTGGTTTAGTTATTAATGATTTTAAAGTGGTATTCTTGGATTTAGCAATTAGTATCAATGAAATTGATCCTAATATTATTCTACGTCTCAAAAATGAAATTTTCAATATTTCTACTACTACTTGGAAATCCCTCAAAACTCGACTTATTCTTGCAAAAAAATGTGACCTTGTAAATTCAATATCAAAAGTGTTCTGTGATGAAGAGCAAGACTTTCCTAAATTAATTAAAAAGTATAAAAGTGTATTTGAACGATGTTTATTTTGTGTTTTTAATGGGAAAGGGTTGCATTTCAATGAACTCACAAGGAAAATTATTGATAAAATAAATGATGAGGTTAAAACAGTTTCTGATAGTGAATTTGTGAAACAAATTTTTAAACTAAATAATGAAATGATTACAAGCAAATTTGTAAATGCTTATCAAGAATGGAGAAATAATTTTGACCAAAGTATAAACCGTGTTATTCAAGATTTCAGAGAAGAAGTTGAAAAAAGTGTGGAAATAGAATTTGATAAATTTCATAAAAGATCCATAAAAGAGTGTGAAAGAGATTATTTCGAATTAATCTGTGGGAAAATTGAGGCAAAATATCTAGCAGATTATTATTTAACTCAAATGGAAAATCGTTTGACGTTAACAATTTTGAATCTAAAAATAGGTATGATTTTATAATTTCTGGACTTAATAATACTTATAAGTTTATGATAATTATAACTTTTATAATTAGACGAGCATAAGAAAAGATATTCTCTAACTTGTGAAGTTTCTGAGAAACTATGTTTTACTATTTATAATCTTAATCTTGACCAGTCTGATATTGAAAGAATGGATAAAGATGAATCTTTTATTCCGACACCAAGAATATCCAATCCTATTACTTCTTTTAATATTGATCCAGAGACATATGAGTTCATGTAATAATTATAGTATTTCTTAATTGTTTTAATCACAAAGACTCATCATTTTTGTTAAATTTACAGTGAAATTGCGCAATTAGGCAAGAAATATCTACTATTTCTTTGGAATATGATAAATGAGAAGCTAGATATTTATTTTGAGGTCATTAAAAATCTACCAGAAAAATTAGACTCACAATCTCCGTTAAAAAAACTAACACTTGGAAGAAATTTTATGATTGCAATTAATGTATCTAAAAGCTTGATTGCAATTTATGAAAATGACAAAGGGATAGTATGTACTTATATTAATTGACTATAATCTATAATTTGCATTAAATAATTCTCTTAACAATCACTTATTTTATTAATATTTTACGTTAAAAGCTTAATACATATGGGCTTAATAAGGAACAAGATAATATTCATTTGCAATATCGAAATATTCAAATTAGTCAATGGTACAATTTAAATATTCCCGAGATAGCTCATTTCTTTTTTATTAAAAATACTGAAGATGTTTGTTTTGTGGAAAAAAATGGGCAAGCCCGAATCTACAGTTTGATAAATGGTAATTTTCGACCAGGAGCAGCTCATCTTCCAAAAAATTGCACCAAAGTAATCAGCGCACCAGATGGAACTTGTTTTGTTGCATTTGTGAAAGAAAAACTTGCCATTGAAGCATCTAAATTTGAAGATAAAGTAATGGAGACAAATTCTAAGAATTTTGCGAAAAAAATGCAAGACGACATTTTTGAGATTAATGACAAATCAGAATCATCAAGTACTAATGATACAACCGGATTATCAAGTATCAATATTGCGATCATTTCTCAAAGAAATATAGATAGTTCAACAGAATCTGAATTATCAAAGGATGTTGAAACATATAAAAGTACAAATAAAACAATTGAGATAAACTCTGAAAATATGTACACAGAAATTCAAACAGAAAGTATTAATAATGAAATTAAATTACAAAATAACGATAATACAACTAAAAATAATAAGGAGCCTACAATTATTTCTCAAGAAAATACAGATAATTTAACAGAATTTAAACTACGGCAAGATACTACGTTTCAACCTAAAATCAATAATTCTCAAGTTTTAACTAGAGATATTGTTCGTGGATACGTATTTTTTTTAGAAAAGTTTAGCAAAAATGCAAACAAAATAATCGATGTTCCTTTTTCTTATCCAACCATAGAGCTTTTTCAATTTGCTTCACTTACGAGTAAACATAATCATCTAATGGCAATTAACCAACATAATAATAGTCTACAATCTTTGTTGGTAAAAATTACACATGCAAAGACAATCAAAATTATCTACATCGTTATCTATTGCCAAAGCAATAATTACCAAATAAGAAAACATTATACGCTATATTAA